CCCTTCAGGGGCCAAGCAAGCCAAACTCTCCCTGTGAACAATGAGCTTCTCAGCGAGACGAGTCTCCAGGTCGGCACTGCACGCCAGCCACGATGGTCGCCGATTCTCCATCCATCCTGAAGATGAAAACATCTCCGCTCCACACCGAACCCTCCGTGACCACCCGAGCCACAAACCGCATGCCGCCCTCGACACTTCAAGAGCTTCGACTGGGGTGATCTGGTGATTGAGACCCACACTCGTTTCCTACAAGGACAGATCAACGTCTGACGCTCGAATTAGGACCACCGAGCAAGCAGCGCGCCATGGCTTTCACGACGAACCCCAGAAGTGGGCCAACCTGGGCCAAGGCGCACCCGAAGTTGACGATGATATTGTGAGTGCCTCTCAACATCTTGTCAGCTTTCCTGGCAGGAGCCACGACGATACCGCAATTTGTTACCGGTGCTTGGACGGAAATTGTGATTGTTGTGTTACTGACAACATCCCGGGAATGAGCGCAGGAAGGCTGTTTTCCTCGCCCATCTTCGATTCCTCTGACCAACAATGGACGAGAATATGGGCCAACAGCAGGCATTAAGTCTCTTCGAGCCGCCGTGGCAAAGCTGTACAGTACGTTTCCTCTCTGTCGGACATTGTCCTCTGGCCTTCTGTTATGCCCAGAGTTCTTGCCCAAAATCAGTCGGGGGGGAGGCTAACCTGAGGGAATTGGAAGACGACAACTACCGTCAGGGCAAGGAGAGCCAATACTCGTGGGAGAATGTCTGCATTGTGCCAGGAGGGAGAGCCGGGCTGATCAGGATCGCTGCCGTCCTGGGCAACGCGTATCTCGGCTTCTTCATTCCTGATTATACCGCATACAATGAGGTAACGGGGTCGAGAACAGTGTTTCTATGCAACATGGACTAATACACGGATAACAGATGTTATCCCTGTTTCGCAACTTTGTAGCCATACCTACACCTTTGTCTGAAGCCGATGGATATCATATGTAAGGACACGGGAGAAACGTCACCTCTATTGCAACGGTTGTTTGAAGCTAACAACCGTTCAGCCATGCCGACAAAATCGCCGACGAGCTGGCGCGTGGTACCAGTGTCATCTTAACCTCAAATCCTCGCAATCCAACTGGTCACGCTTTGGATCCTGAAGAGCTTGCCCTGATCCAAGACATTTGTCGGGACAGAGCGACCTTGATCTTTGATGAATTCTACGCCGGTTACAGGTAATGTTTCTTTGAAACGTGCACTATTTATCAGGCACATATTTTCCAATATCCGTCCTTCCCCTTGTGATTCTTCATCACTAATGAAAGATAGGTATGACACCAACTGCGACGGTAGTACGATTTCTGCTGCATCGAACGTTGTAAGTGTCAATCTTGATAGACACTCAAGCTTTATTATGGCAAAGTAACCTAATGATGATCGATAGATTGACGTTGATCGCGACGATGTAATTTTGATTGATGGTCTCACAAAGCGCTTCAGACTCCCGTAAGTCTCCTCGATGCCTGAATCAAGTTTGAAAGTTCCAAAACTCGGTCTTTCCCGACCTCGTCTCCGACACTAACACCACGGCCAGAGGGTGGAGGGTCGCTTGGATTGTTGGTCCGAAAGAATTCATCAAGGCGCTTAGCTCATGCGGTAGCTATCTCGATGGTGGCTGCAACGTACCGTTTCAGGAGGCTGCCGTCGCAATGCTTGATCCTCGTAAGTCTCCCTCCCCCAATGGCGCGAACCAAAATGAAAGCTAGATCAAGCCTACCGTCCGACGCTCGTCTCGACGACATCGCTAACGTGCATGGAACAAAAGCGAAGGTCAAGGCTGAAATGAAGGCCCTCCAAAGTCACTTCAAGATGAAGCGGGACTACGTTCTCAAGAGACTCGAAGAGATTGGATTCAGATGGAAAGAGCAAAATGTCCCGCAATCGACTTTTTACATATGGTTGGATTTGACGTCGCTCGAGCCGCCATTGCCAAAGAACAGTCCTCTTGACATCTCCAACGGACTTTCTTTCTTTGACGCACTGGTACGGTCCTTTCATTCTCCAGCACTTTTTCGATTCTAGCCAAAATTATCGCCATGACCTCAGTGCTGGTCGGTACAAGCTAACAAAGATTTGCAGCTCCAAGAGCGAACCATCGTAGTTCCAGGGATCTTCTTCGACCTGAACCCAGCAAAGAGACGCGATCTCTTCGACAGTCCTTGCCACCATTTTGTCCGAGTCAGCTATGGTCCCAAAATGGAACAGCTAAAGATGGGCCTTGATGGTATTGAGAGGGTGGTCAAACGTGCGAGGGGCGAGTTTGGACAATTTGACACTGCCATCCACGATGAGCCTGAGAGCAAGAGTCCTCGCAGCCCGGTTCAGTTCTGGAAGGGCAAGGGACAGGACGACCACTTCCAATGATTTATTGGACAGCATGATGAGAAATGATGGGTGAAAAGGGGTTTTAAGGATGGTACATTTAGAGATACAGCTTTGAGCCCAGACAAGCAAACGGTCTCTCCCAACGCCCTCTGTCCAGACTAGGTTCTGCCATAACATTTATGATAGTTTGACTAACGAACATGAAACTTTGAAAACTTGCTAGGTACACACTTGCATTATCGCCCCTTTTTTCTTTTCTGGTCCATTTCCTGTCATAACCCAGCGAGCCCGGCGGGCTTAGGCAATTCGGGGAGCTTTGTCGGTAGCTTGGGCAGCTTGGGCAGCTTCGGGGCTTTTGGTAACAACTTGGGCAATTTCGGTTTGGGCAGCTTGACTTTCGGCAGAGATAAATCAAGCCCTGAGGATCAATTCCTTTCGTTAGCCTTTAGGACCAAATTGTCCACCACAAAAGATAGGGATTGGGGGAGTTTGTGTACTCACAGGAGTGCGAGTGTGAGATCGCCATGGATGCTAGCCTTGAGTTCAATCTCGATGTCCAGATTCAGCTCTAGCCTGAGCTTCAAGCCACTTTTTTTCCCCTCGTCAGCAAAAAAAAAAGAAAAGAAAAGAAAAAAAAAAGGCAAGGGCACAATGTCCCTGGGAAATAAGCGTACTCTTGATCCATGGGGTCCTTTCCACTGCTGTCCTTTGCGTCGATGGGTTGTGCAGTCTCCAACGGTTGGGTTGGCGGTGGTCCTCGCCACGGGATCTCACCCCGAAGCATGCGTGCGTATGTCACCGGGCCCTGCATGGATTCGGAAGGGGGTTTGATGCGCTCGAACGGCTGATAGGCAGTTATCGAGCGCGGGTCAGGATTCTTCAGCCATTGCGGATTTTGACCCTGTTCTCCTGGATGCAGATTCGAAGGCTGTGCTCGTCTTGCTACTTGCTGCTGCTGCTGCTGCTGCTGCTGGGGTTCGTAGCCCTCGTCAATCGAGGCCATCGAGTTCGCAGAAGCATTTCCCGCCTGGGCTCGAGCTTGAGCCTGTCTCTGTCGTTGGTTCTGCCGTCTTCGTCGTCTGGACTGGGATCTGGATCGTGATTCGTAGCCTTGATCGTCAGCGCTCGTTGTCGACTGATCAGAATTGCTGCGCTCTAGCCCCGGCCGGCTGGGCTTCTTCCCCCCAGGAGTGTTGTCCGGTGTGGGTGTTTGCTGCGGCTCTGACATGGTGGTTACAGGGCGATGAGGAGGACACAGAGTTACGGAAGGGAAAAGGAGATTTAGAAAATATGGGAGGGAAGTAGGACAGTGTTCAAATGAATTGAGTGACAGAGATCAGAGCCAAAAGAAACTGGTACGGGTGAGCAGAGTCGTTCGTTGGAACGGGGAGGGCAAGGTCGGAAAAGGCATTCGGGGGAAGATGCTGTAACGACGACATCATTACGACCAGGGTCTGATTTCCCCCAGACCTGTTCTATCTCGCGCTCCTCAGTCGTGATACTTTGTTTGCTTTGAAGCAGCGGGATTACCTGCGCCGCGATTGAAGATACTGGCATCGACAACGGTGATCGATCTGTGCATTGGCCAAGATTTGGGCAGACGCTGATGCATCAGCAGGTTCAATGCAGGAATTCGGAACTTGGAAGAATCCTGGTCGGTGGATCGGGTGACATGTGGCGCCGTCGCCCCTATTGGCTGAAAATATGCCAAGATGTCGTGGGATGTGGGGCGAAGCGGGATGTGGCGTTTTGTGGCGCCCTGCAACCGCTAACGGCCACTGAACGCTGCAAGATGACGCAAGGCATCTAACATTCCCATCATCTCACGAAGGCTGCCCACCGTACATCCTTGGGCAACTCAAACTTGACGCTTCGACATCCACAGGCACACTGGCTGGAGGACGCCGAGTCGACGGTCCTCCCGCTGGCTTAACCATCTTTGGACTTCTGATCAGCGGCAGAACATGGAGTACTGGGGATCCTGCTCTTATATCAACACTCGGAACTCTTGGAAGGTAAAGATTGACTATACCAAACATATTGACAAACACCGACGGCTTAATCCCACTTAATCAACATCCATCTGTACAAGAACAATGCTTGCCGCTAACAGCCTACAAAGAGACCTCCACAATCTGACACCAACATCGCCGATTGAGAAGGCTTGGTGGCTACTGACTTTTCCACTTCCCATTTTGTTTGTTAGACGTCCCGTTATCCTGCCATGACCCCTGCCAAACATCAGCCACATTCCCCCCAACAGGAATTCTCCTTCGCCGCCATCGGCCTGACCACTTGCTGAAACCTGGCTTTTGCAATGTCCAAAACCAGCCCCTCTGTCGATCGTGTCGCCGATCTGTGTCGTTACAGACAGCTCCTCCCTCAAAAGCAGCAACAATCAACGTCATAGGCGTACCTGTAGAGGCACAAGCAATGTAGGTCATTGCCCAAGCCGTCTCCCCCCTGACGTCTGTGTGGGGTTGCAACTACAACTTCAGCGTCTTGCCAACCTTGATTCCCTTCACTGGACAATAAGCCCGGTCGTCATACGTCGAGGTCCTCTCCTTGTCTGTATACTCCTCCTCTTCACCCTCTCTCGCACATCTTTCTTCTCAATCTCCCACCATGTCATCCGAACAAGAGACGAAGAGCACCGAAGAAACCCATATCGGCGGAAACCTTGACGCCGCTGGATCTGCTTCAGGTGCTGCGAGCATTGGAGCAAACGCCTCAAAGCAGTCTGAAGAAAGACGAAAGCCCAAAAAGCTCGGCCAGAAAGGTCAGGCAAACGGTGAAAAAGCAGCTGCAGACGGCGAAGGCGAAGCAGACGCCAATCCAGACCAACCTCCAACACCACAACCAAAGATGGACTCGCAGGCAGCAACATCAGCCCGCTCCGGGTCTCGACGTGGTAGCCGAGGTCGCGGCCGAGACTCAAGTGAGCCACCCAGTGATGCTGACAACGCATATCGAAGCGACGTTTCCCAGAAAGGTGGCCGACGAAACAGAAACCGGAACAGAGGCAAGGCACAGGCCCAGACACAGGCCCAGTCACAACAGCAAGGGAGGGGCGGCCTCCTCGGCGGCGGCGGCGGACCACTCGACGCAGTTGATGAGGTCGGCGACACAGTGAACGGTGTCGTCGACGGCGCCGGAAATCTCGTGAACGACACCGTGGGCAAGACCTTGAGCAAACCTCACGAAGCCCTAGGAGGACTGCTGCACAGCAAAGGCGGCAAGGAAGGCGAGGGAGAAGGCGGCGACTCCGAAGACAACGAGCAACTGAGATTACGACTCGACCTGAATCTGGACATTGAAGTCCAACTCAAGGCCAAAATCCACGGCGACTTGACTCTCGGCTTATTGTCAGTCAAACCTCCACTCCACTGCGCGAATGCTAATGTCTCACAGGAACTAGTGCATGATCCCGATCCCCGACAGCTTGATATCGTCCTCTCTACCTATATCCCCACCTTCAACATACCTCCTACATCGCAGAGTCAATACAGTCGGTAAATTGGCAAGAGTTGGGGACGCTCGAAACAGAGTCATTGGATCATGTGTTTGTTGTTTTGGTCGAACTTGATTCTCAGATCGTACGTGTCATGGCGTCCCAGTTTTTCCATTTACCCTGGACAGCGAGATAGGGTTGTTTTGTGTATGTAATAAAAGAATGACGCTCGTATCATGTTAAGAGTCTGATTCTGAATGTGCTGGTACGTGCGTGATGATGCCAACACCCATCTGTACAATATCAGTCTCCCCGGCGCCACCGTATGTATTAGCATGGGAGTCGAACGATTCCGGAGTCACTCGTAACTATCGTAACTAAGATGAGTAGGTGAAAAGTCTGTGCTAAACGAAGAACGACTTACTTGGGAATAGTGTGTTGGACGGTAAAGACATGCTCACTCTGGCGAAATGAGAATGGTTCAGGAAAGTTGCGTCTTGAGGAGGGTATCTAATATCGCAGCACTAAGAACATGTGTCCCAACCATCCTTCTTCATGTGAGCCGCGCTAGGCTGTGCGGCAACTTCGACTGCAACTCCATCAAGCATGACGATGTCGGCAGCAGTACCAGTTTCATATAAGCGCTGCTGGCCGTCACATTGACCGGATTCTTCATGAATCTACATAGTCGGGACATCTCGTCATCTGGAGAATTCATGGTAGTTGTGATGGGTGGATTTTCACGCAAATTGATTTATCGTGCTGTAGAGACTGGAGAAGACTGGTCCGCATCGTACCTTGGGCAGGCCCTATCCTAAATCGAGCTGCATGGTCAAGTCGCCAAATGCACCGAAGCAGCCTGTCAATTGATGCATGGCTGGCAAGCATGGACGAGGAGCCGTGTTTGAGCGTGACCTGCTTCTCCAGAACACAAGTATTTGATACACACTTGTTGTACCATGATAGAGAATCTGTCACTTGGTGTTGGCTTACAGCAAATGTAACCTCAAGTCCGACTCAAGACGGCCTGTGCCGCATATCAGGCAGCATAATTTGCACCGAGAAGTTTCGCTTCGAACTGTCCATCGCAATTGGGGCATCGATATTTGGGATGTTTGGCTTGTAATTGCTTTGGCTTGGAGCAGAACGAGGTCTGCCGCAAATCCACTTGTTTCCTGAAGAACGCGCAAAAAGCTGTCCTTCTTCTGCAACACCTTCATCTGCTCGTGGGAAATGTGAGCGATCGTCTCCTGGGGCTTCTGGCATTGGGAGGGACCGTAGACGCCTCTGATGACACGCGGAAAGTCGTCCTTATCCCAGCATTCAGTCGTCCAATACTTGAATTCTTCTTTTTGACAGCTGTGTGAGAGCTGAGACTCGATATTTATCTGCAACTTTGTACACTTCCGTATTGAAGAGCATAGGAGATATCGGGCCATCATAATTAATGCCGCTGTCGCGATCACAGCCATACATAAAGCGGAGCATTGCTTCAACGGCGCGCTGGTCGTCTTCTTTAAGCTCGATCATGTTATCGACAGTTTCCTAGAGCCTATGTGTCAGTGTCCAAGATAGTTCTCCGCATGGCTGAACAGAATTCGGCCATAACTTCTCCTCGCAATCCAACAAGCGATACAAGTACTTTGACTGGCCACACAGGACTATCTTATGAGTTTTGAAATTCACGATTCTTTGTTTTGATGGTAGAGTTAGACGACTTCGAAGAATCCAAGAAGCTAAATAACATCAGCTTTCGTCACTTTATCCACTGTCTTTGTACAGTACATACCTCTTCAGACGAAAATGGAAATGGTTGACCAATTTGTCGCCCGCATCATTACCTGGCACCACCGCCAACTCATTCCGTTCTTGACTGGCTGACTTCTCTGCCTCATTCAATAAGACTCGGGATGTTGAAGGTGTGAATGTGTGAAATGAGGATGCGATTTCATTACAATGGGTTGCTACTATCAAGAACAACAAGCTAAAGAGGAGAAGAAGAGAGGAGAAAGGTCCTTGCTGTCGCTCGACGCAGAAATGCTAGAAGGCATGCCGAGACAAATGTCACTACCTCGCATTGCACTAGCCTGATCCAGCCATAGGCGATGCTAATTACCGAGTAACAGTAGACACGATCGAATTGGTGCCAAGGCTTGCCCTACAGGGCCTATTACGTGACTGTACCCAATCCGCCCAGTACAATCTTCCGTGATTCCATTTCCAACAAACTCCGGATTCAGTGAGGAGCTGTAGGGAGCCGTTCGAATGCCATGTCGCATTGGGTTCCGAAGCCTCAGAAGAAACCATCTCCCCTTCTGCGCTTTGTGGCAACATCGTGTTGGAACATGTGCCTTCAGCGCTCTTCGCATTGTCGCGCCTCCAACTTCCCGGCGTCTTCACTCGTCTTCCTCTTTCTCGGCGGTCCCTGATCTAGAAGAATGGCACGCCAGGGCGAGCAACCATACCGTCTCTGACACAATATATGCATTATCAACTGCCCCAGGTCGAGCTGCCATAGCAGTCATTCGTATCTCTGGCCCAGCATGTCTTTACATCTACGGACTGCTATGCCCGAGTCGTCCACCACCAAAACCTCGCACCGCGACGCTACGAAGACTTTATGATCCCAACGACCCACACTCCTCAGGCCTCCGAGTCCTTGATCCTGGAGCACTCGTCCTATACTTCCCCGCTCCTCACACAGTAACTGGTGAAGATGTGCTCGAGCTGCATGTCCACGGTGGTCGAGCCATTGTTCGCTCAGTTTTGGACGCAATATCAAAATGCGGGCGCTTGACGCAGGGAAGAGGCGGAACAGTGAGACATGCTGAGCCTGGCGAGTTCACGAAGTGGGCATTTTATAATGGGAGATTGAATCTCACGCAGGCCGAAGCATTGGGCGAAACCCTCGCAGCCGAGACAGAGCAACAGCATCGTTTAGCTGTTAGCGGTGCAGATGGTGGACTCTCCAAACGATATGAGGAATGGCGTACCATGCTGCTATACGCTCGAGGAGAGCTAGAGGCTCTGATCGACTTTTCGGAAGATCAGCACTTTGATGAGTCGCCAGCAGAGTTTGTGGCCTCGATCTCAAAACAAGTCCGCGTGCTGAAGAGACAGATTGAGCTACACCTTCAAAATGCATCTAAGGGTGAACTGCTGCGCAATGGCATCAGCATAGCCTTACTGGGGGCACCAAATACCGGCAAGAGTTCCTTGCTCAATCGCATCGTCGGGCGAGAAGCTGCCATTGTCAGTGCCGAAGAAGGGACTACTCGAGACATTGTCGACGTCTCGGTCGACCTCAATGGCTGGCTATGCAGGCTGGGTGACATGGCCGGTCTCCGCGCCATTGGGCCTGATGGACAGCAGCAACAACCTGTCGGCTTGGTGGAACAAGAAGGCATACGTCGAGCAAGAGAACGGGCCCTGCAATCCGATGTTGTTTTGGTACTGTTGTCTGTCGAAATGGATGAAGAGGGGAATCCGCAAGTCCCTGTCAACGGACAAGTTCTTGAGGCAGTGCAAGAATGCAATGCTGTCGGGAAGACTATTCTAGTCGTTCTGAATAAGATCGACTTGCTGGACATGCATGATGGTCCAAAACAAGAACGCATGAGAGCCCTGCAGGCACGAATCTGTCAGATATTTCCAACGGTCTCTGAGCGACGGTTATGCATGATATCCTGCAAAGGTGCGACAAACAGCCCAGTGGGCTCCGACCCTGGCGGTATCCAAACATTTCTCAGAAAACTGACTAGCTCCTTCGTGGAATTGACGACAGCATCCACCGGCGAAGACATTGCGGATGCCAGAATGACTCCAGTGGAAGCACGGGCCTACTGGACCACCTCTCTCTCGGTCACGCATCGGCAGACTACGTACCTGTCGCAGTGCTTACATCATCTTGAGGACTTCCTTGCCCTGAGCCAGTCGCAGCCTCAGTCTTACCTGCATACAGCAATGACAGAAATCTCCGATTCGTGCAATTCCGCCAGTGATTACCGCCCTGATCGCCACGATGACCACGTCGGTCCAAATATAGTACAGGTGAATGGAGATGGACCTGCAGATGGTGCGGTCGATATTGTGACTGCGGCGGAACATCTCCGTTTCGCAGCGGACTGCCTTGCCAAGATTACGGGTAAAGGAGAATCCGGTGATGTGGAGGACATCCTTGGAGTCGTTTTCGAAAAGTGAGTAGACTTCTTTCTGGTTTTCTCTCGCTTCCATTTGTTGTCGTTGCTTCTACTGCATCGGGAAGACTTTCTGCAAAAAGAAATCGGTCTTCAAGGTCCAAAACTGTGACATTCGTGATCGCATGTTCATGCTGGGGTATCTATCTCCCAATGTGTCTGTATAGATTCTGGGGCTCTTTCTGGCGTCGCATCTGTTCTGTTGATCCACACTCTGGGCTAGCTTCGCCCATTGAACCCCCCTGATTCCACCTCAACTCTCTAAAAGAATGGGGAAATATGTTCCAAAAGAAAGACTGCAAGAAACGCCGATGCCAAGACCTGCCCCCAATGCAATGCCCCTTCCTGGATTCCATTAATATCCCATGTGTACCCTGAAACTCCCGAAAATGATCAAATGTTTTTTGCGTTCCTGCGCCTTGTTGAATTATTCATGCTCCCAGAGCAAAGTGGTGTGATTATATGCCAAATTGGAGAGAAGAAGAAAAAACGCCTGGAAATGCCGCTAAATGTCGATGAGGAATATGTGCAGATGACTGAACTTTTGGTGCTGTACAGGTTCTGCGTTGGGAAATGAAGTTGCCGAGAGAAACAGATGCTCATCAAGAGCTGGGACATTGTCGCAAGAGAGTGGATGGTGATCGAAGCCGGGATCACGCAAGTCATAGGTCGAATGAATGGGCATGGCGATGGAACGCGGTTCCTGACGGGTGGTTGTCGTATCGGCGACGAAAGAAACATGAGGGAAATTCAGTTGTATCCGCCACGACCTTGGGCAGCCTGCTGTCGATTGTATCCACCGCGACCTTGGACGACGGGGGTTCTGTTGTATCCGCCACGGCCCTGTCTGTTGTAACCACCGCGGCCCTTCTGGGGAGCAGCTGGGGTGTTGTATCCGCCTCGTCCCATGGCCATTGTGAGTGCGATTGTGGTTGGGATCAAAAACACGAGGAAATAAATGGTCGACGTGTGCTTTGGGCTTGAGAGAAAGCTTTGTCGGCGCTGGGCTCTGCGAAAATGGATGGGTGTCGCAGACAAGTTGGGGGGACTGAAGAGATAAGAGACAAAGAAAAAACAAATAGAAGGAAATAGATTGAGATGGGAGTGGGCTTTGGGCTGTTGTTGTTTGTTGTCGGTAGCGGTGCTGTTGTTGTGCTGAAGCAGATAGGAAATAAAACAGAAATAAGGAAAGTATGGTCTATACCTCAAATCTGGAGTTGGCTGTGTGCTGAACTGGGAACCCTGGCAATGCGCGTACAAAGGAAAGAGATTAAGAAATAATGAGATGTTTTGGCTTGAAGGAGTGTGTTGATGTAGAGGAGTGAACATTCGAAATCTTTGGACGAGAAAGCCAGTGATATATATCTTTGTGGACGTAGATGGGTAGTTGGTAGGCCCGACCCACGCAGACGGGCCCGACAAGGAAATGTTGGCGTATTCGATCGGTGAACCTGGACGGATCCGGGTTCCTGACCGCGATGAGGTAAATTTGGGGGCTGACGAAGTCCACACTCACCGTGCATGGGCTGCGAGATTTGTCTTGAGATGCGATCCATTAGCGAATGAGGGAGGGGGGAAACAGGCGACCAAAGGTCCCTGGGTCGCAGGTTACTGTGTAGCAGCGCAGCCATGCTCGTAGGGCTGACGACCGCCCAGCACAGAGAAAATGGACTTTTGAAAAAGAAACAATGGGGCTTGTGGATCCCGAGTCCTCAGGCAGCCTCCTGGAGATCCTGACGGCCTTAGGGTGAGCCTGGCCTGCATTGCCCCCTTGTCCCTATCCTTCGATGTCCACTATCCCCTGCCCCGACACGAGGAAGCTAAGCAGGGGAGTGGAACCATTCACAGAGAAGAAAGGCGACGGAGGCGTTATGTTGCACTTATGAGTGGGCAGTGAGGGTGGCACGACAAGCGAAAGAAAGTCGGTGCGCAAAATCTGGGTGGTGTGCTAAATTCAACGATTGAGTCGAGCAACGAGGCGGCGTGGCTTTTAGAGCTGGTTAAGGCAACCTCGATATGCATTAGCGGGACAGGCTGAGGTATGGGATAGGCCAGCACCCGGTAGATGTGGAGCCGGTACAGCGCTAGTGCTCACAGTCCGGCAGAAGGGGAAAGTTCTTGGATTTTTAACTTTTTCTGGCTTAGTTCTTCTTGGCCGTCCAATCACTGTCTCTACTCTGCCTACCCTATTCCGCGCAAACCCCATTCACACGAGACTTGAACACCACCCACCAAAGGCGCAGTTGAGGAAGCAGAGAAATTCTCCATTTGGACGAGGAAAGTGTCCCCCAGGTCTCCTGACCCAATCACCTTTCCTTGTCTCTTCGTTCATGCAGTAGTATCTATCCCGTTACACTCACTTTTTTGTTGAAACTCTTCGGATTCTAAATCACGCTGGTCATTTCTCGCCCGGGTAGGCGACCAAGCTAAAGCGCGGGAATGCAATGACCGACGGCATTTGTATCCACCGGTTTATTTCGTGATCTGGCGGGCGAGGAGGCTACTATGCGATACGCGAAGTGAAAGGCCCAGACAGTGTGAGCACGTATCGCAAGAGCAACGTTACGCGCACCCAATACCACGCGAAGCTGGTCTCCTCACCTATCTCGTACGTCTAAGAAAAGGCCTTTCTGACCCGCAGCGAGTGGATTACTATGTACCTGTACTTGGTGCATGCTCATACGAGTATGGGGAGTCTCCACTCGACCTGTGAAAATGCCTCGAATGACGATACAGAATGCATAATATTTGGCACTCACAGCAAGCCCACATGACAAACGGGCCATGCATGTCTGGGCAAGCAATCGGGACGGTGATGATGACGATGATGACGACCATGACGACCATGACGACCATGACGACCATGACGACCATGACGACCATGACGACCATGACGACCATGACGACGACAAGTTCCTGCGTACTCCGTACCAGTGCTGCTACCTAGACATGTGATCACTGACGGCTCACCGATATTCCATCTTCCCACGGGGCTGGGACTCGCCTGGGCGGGGCGCAGCGATCCGGGACTGGATTAACCTTTATTCCGACTGGCCTATTGTCTTCCTCAGCGCGCTCACTCCGAATCAGGCGTTTTTCACTACCTGTTACATGCTGTGAGGCAGACTCTCAGCAAACACATCCCTTTTGTGAGTCTATCGACGGCCGGCTCTTCTAGGCCCCCTTGGCCCGACAACTCCACAGTCAACGGGACATTGTCAGAGATCTTGGGAACAGTCGCCTTTCCAGATTGTTGATCCGTGGGGAATTTTCCGACATGTGGCGTGCAAAAATAGCAACCTTTTTTCAGTCCCGCTAAACCAGATCTGGACATCAGTTCTTCGATCTGGGTTTCCAATTCAGGCTCCTCCCGCTGGCTGGTGCGATACCGTCGTCACTTCCCCTCTTTAGTCACCCCTTGCGACGTGCTTCCTTGCTTTGGGAATTGGTCTGCGAAGGTCAATACCACCACAGGATCAATATAAAACGCTTGGTCTCTATCTGGGCTCTCCAGACTTCCTGATATAGCTAGATGGCTTTTCTTCGCGTTAATGGATGGACGGCTCGTGATCCGGGCCATACCTCCGCAATCGATTTCAGCCTCAAAACCCGTTAGGTAAGTAGTCGGAGTGCCCGGTTGACACCTGAGGCTAAGTAGGACCTGTCTCTCTGCTTCCTTCATACGTCCTGAATGGCTATCTTGCACCGATCTCACCCATGGAGCATATGAACCTTGCAAGAGAGCCGCCCGGTCCTTTTGACATGAACAGTTGCTTCTCTGGGCTTAGCGACCGATATACCCCAGTCACAGGCACCACGTTCTCGTTGAGTCACATACGGACGGGAGCTTCTGCTCCCGATGGCAGTGACAACGTTGCATGGAGAGTCAACTTGATATCCCGTGTAGATGCAACAACGGCATGATCTGATATCGACACAGACCCCAGCTCTCAACACTAAGGCAATCTTTTGTTGCTGCTGCCATTGGATCGCAAACAATACCCCTTGCACTAACGGCAAACCCAAGGCTGGACTAAACGCAGATTGGACGATCTGAAACCACAAAGTCTATCCGGTCACGATAGCACACTCAGCTCTGGACGTTGGCAACCCCTGAAAGCCTGTCTTCGGACCTCAGTTGCCGTCAGCTGTGATTCCGCTCACATCAAATGCGTTGGTGATGAGAATGATAATGCGCCTGGCACTTCCGACACGGCTTCCACGCATCCGTGCTTGGCCGGTCTTGCGAAGACATGATCGCGGTGACTGAGTCTGCTTGTGAGCGTGGCCGTGAATTCAGCCCTCGCTTGCTTAGCATGCAGACCGCCGACACTAAAGCGCTTCAATGGCGTGCCCCTGGCACAATGCACTGGCGACATCGGCTGTACCAACCGATCATCCATTCACCTTCACGATCTCGTTCGCCTTTTTCAGCTTCAACAGCAACAGCTTTCTTAACTCCCCACCATCATTTACCACGAGCAACACGCCGTGTGAACACGTCGCGCCATTTCCCGAAAGAGGGCTGTTAGCTGTGCAAACGACTGTGGAGGACCCCGGAAATGCGAACCCCTGGTTCTGATTGACTGTAACTTCCTGTGTCGGCCCCTGCTCCGATGCCCAATTGATCTCTCTACAGTCCATTTGGGCCTTGTTGGCGCAGTCGAACTTGGTGATGCGAAGAAAAGACAACCACTCGTCGAGTCTATCACATATTCCTGTCTACAGTCGCCGAGACTGATGTCAATACATAGTCTCGGCAGTTTCTTCGCCCGCGTGGCCGAGTCTGAAAGACGAGAATAGCACACATTCAAGGTAAGAGTACAGCTTTGCGAACAAACCTTGACAGAGAAATGCTTCATTGATTGCGCCTAGGTTCCCAGACATTTCCATGCCCCCAAAACTATCCAAGCTTTGCGAAATAGTCTGGAGTCTGGACCCCAACTGGGTTTCCCCCCAGGTACGGTTGGCCCTCCAATCCTAACGATGCGACGACGCTGCAACAACTGGTTGGTGGTTCAACTCTGGAACCTCAGAATAGAAACCCTTCACCTTGGACATGTCTAAACCCTGTCCTCTTCCTTGGGATGGGACTTCTTCGCTCGAGATAGGGGCGAAAAGCCCAGTCAATGATTGGCAAGGCAGACGCGTCCTCCATCACAGCTTGGGGTGGAACGGACCATCGACAAGCATGACCAATTTTTGACGAGTGCAGCATACCAGGCGACCCCGGTACATCCTCAGACTCTGTCCGGGAAGATTTTGCAACTAACTCACCGGGCGAAATAGCACCGCAAGGCTTGCAGCCACAACGGAATGAAAATCTATGAGTCCGGTGGCGATGAGTACATGTCTCTCATCTCGTTAGATGGCCTGTGCAGAGCATGTCAAAGAGCAAGGGATGAGAAATTTGCATGGCTGCTTTATGCTATGTCATCTTGATACAAAGCCATGCGCTGTTTACAGTCTACCGGCTCGACTTCACGCCTCCATTTCCTAAGAGTCCCTTGAATCAATGTTGACTGTCAAATGGTGTGCCAATGCAAGTATCCATTTCAATATCGAGGCGTGGAAAGGGCGATCGTGTCATACTAGCATCCGCTGATTTCCTTGTCCGCTGCGTCTGCAGCTCCAGCAATGGTATCAACTATGGTCTTGAGCAAGGAAGAGTCTACCTGTGATGCACGGAAATTGCAAGCACCCTTGACAAAGATTTGCGGGTCGCGGGCCTCGACGACAACATACGTGCCGAGTCTGGAACGCCTTGGGTTGTTGATTCCTCTGGAATGTGGGCCCAGATACTCAAGAATCATACAACACGACGTTGCACACACCCAGATTTCGTCCCTCTTGCAGACTTGACCTATCCCGACCCAACCGCAATCATTCATTACTGATTTTTGGTTGTCTAGTCGTTCCTTTGCCCCGAAAATGCGACCCCTCGTCCCCTTGTTTCTCACTGCAGGCGCAACTGCGCAGAGCATCAGCTTCGTGTACACCGCAACTTTCACGGAGACTGCTCTTGAATTCGTAACCTTCACGACATGCCCTTGCCCAACGAGCACAACGGGCTTGTCGACCCTTCAAGCGACGACCCCTGTCACGACGACGACGACGACGACGACGACGACGTCTACGACTCTCAGTGGACCTATTCTTCCGTCCTCCGACACCATCACTCCAGCCTCGTCGACCATAACTTCCTCGCCCACCTCCAATGCACTAGGGAGCCCAATCTCTACCTTGTCCACCACCACGTCTTCCGGAATTCCCGTGGTCACCAATGACGCATACATCAGCGCAGCCCTGCGCCACCACAACATCCATCGATCGAACCACTCGGCTGATCCGCTCGTCTGGTCCTCTAGCCTAGCCGATACAGCGCGCGTGATCGCTGAGACCTGTATCTATGGACATAACACGTAAGGGCTCTTTCTCCATCTCTCTCCTTCGTGTGCTTTTTGCCTGGCCTAGCTGATATTCCCTTTCTCAGCAACGTTAATGGCGGCGGGTATGGCCAGAACATCGGCGCCGGCTACCCAGCCACACCTCTTGGGATCGGCCAGTTCATCACCGAAGGCCTGTACAACGGCGAAGTAAACAACTACGTCTACTACGGGATGGAACCGCCGCTCAACACGTTGAGCCAGTGGGGGCATTTCACGCAGATTGTGTGGAAGTCGACAAACAGCGTAGGATGCTATACCGCGGATTGCAGCAGTGGTGGGTTGGCGAATGCTGGCCCACCCATTCCGGCGTATTTTACTGTCTGCAACTACGCGCCGCCTGGTAAGTGCAACGAGAATTCCATCAGTGTGATAGAGGGTGGGACAGGACAGAGGAGCTGACAAGCTTGATTTTGATACAGGGAATGTCATTGGGTCATTCACCGCGAACATTGGCGTATCGATTGGTCTGGCTACGGTGTACGGGGATTACTGAAGACTTTGTAACATAGTATCCAGGAGGCAAGGCTGAGCTGAGGCCCGATATTAGAGCTGTGGGGCAAGGCTGGGGCAAGATTGGATTAAAAACCTCAAGAGGGACGGCGGAGATAGTGGTGCGATCTGCCCGGCTTTATTTTTTGCAGAGCCATCCAAAGAAGAACAAGGAGACCATTTATCGATTTGAATGTTTCTCCCGAACAGTGTCGAATATTTCTTGCACCATAGTTGCATACGTAGTGCTACATGTTGCAGTCTGCACAGTGATTCGGTAGGAGTCGGCCAGACTGCCCTAGATTCTAGGTAACAGTTCCCGCAGACTGCTAGTGTTAGTCTGCACTGCACTTCAGTCTGTCTGGAGAGGGAGAAGGACTCCACTCCGTAGGTATTCCGAGTTCCTGGACTGCTTGCTCTATGTATACTTTGGAAATGTAGGCTTACAGCACTGCACCTGTAGTGCCTTGAAGCGAAAAGAGAGGGCTCAGGGCTGGGGGGCTAAATGAAGAGTCAACGCCGCTCGGTTCACCAGCCTTGCACTTTCAGCAGGACTCCGATCCGTGTTCCGTCTGTCCTACTCCGTACGCTGCCTACCAAGTACGTAGGATACGGTCGGGACAAAAGAAAGACCGGGGTAACGTTCTCAACACGCATCAACGCCACCCCCGATTGACTCACTAGCAACACAGTCAAACGGATATTACTATTAATAGCTTCCGGCAAACAATTTACCCTCCTCGATTATCAGGCCAGTGTAATACTTTGTTTCCTGAGGAAGCATTTCAGCCCTCCCATCGAAACAGAGAATACAGACAACGGTCTCAAGATGCGAGGCTCGGAAACCTTCAAAGTCTTAGGGGACTTCGACAAAGACGTGTCTTTTTCGCGATATGAATGCCGCCGCTAGCAACTAGGCTGTCGAACAGCCACCAAGCGACGAGGCTGGACGACTCAACCGGATTATTGGTCTAGCTGCAGAGTGCCAAGGATTCACAGGGGACAACTGCACATTTTAGCGCATTACAGCGAAGGGGCACGATCCGCAAAGGCATCACAAGCACTGCACTTTTAGCGCCTTACAGCGAGGGAGGGGAGTGCCAGGCGGAGGCACGTCAGGCAACGGCTGCATGGAATGGATCCACAGAACCCCGGAGATCAAAAAGCACTGTACCTTTGCCAGAGCATCCAAAGACGAAGAAAGAAGCATCGAATGTGTCTCCCGAATACTGAACGTTTCCACAGTGGTTTTTTTCTTTACTTTTCTTTTCTTTTCGATTCCCACTGCAATTCTAGTCTGGCTCCAGAGCGGGAAATGTGGAGATTCCGCATGCAAGGACTCCCATATTCCGTATTCCGTATTCCATCATAAGTCCCGTCCCGCTCGCAGGTTGGATGTCCGTAGACGAAGCATTCCACGGAGCGGTGTTTTGAATTCAAGAGAATCGACCGAAGAGAGAGGAAGGGAAGCTACTTCGTACCTTTGTTGCAATTCCTCAGAGGACGGCTACCTGCATATGTACACGTAAGGAGGATTGCTTAAGTAGGAAGTGGAACACAGTGGTCTCTGGGCAAATTTGGATCCTAAATATTCCAATCGACCTAGGCACTGCACTTTTAGTGTCTTGGAGAGGGGAAGAGGGGCTGGCATCAATGCACGCGGCACACCACACTACACTGCAATTTTAGTCTCTTGGAGCGAAGGAAAGCCGCCAAGTAAAGGTGCGCCAGTCCAACGGCTCTAGGAGATCAATCCACAGAACCCCCAGGATCCACAAGTGCTATTTGTATATACTGTTGAGAAGATAGACATCCACTGACTTAACGGTGCATATTTAGCATCTTGGGGCGAAGGGGGAGCGCCAGGAGAATCGCGCTAGATAACCGCTGCTCAGTCATGCCACGCTCGGCGCTGCACATTTGGCATAAGGCGATGTGGCATACACAAAGGCATGGATAGGTATGGCACATTCCGACACGGGAATACGGGAGGCAGGCTTGCATCTACTCGTGCGGGTACTTGATGGAACATGATGTATCCGAATGAATGAAAGGCCTCGGACACCGACGAAAATAGCCCGTCCCACTGTGCATCGAGCAAAGCTGGCGGGCGCCGATGGATAAGGACACAGCGTCACAGTTTACAAAGGTAGAGCCGAATGTTCAGTGAAAATGAAGAGGCGCCCTCGATCTATGTGCATGTATCTACGTCCGTCATGGCAGAATGGCCTTTTTAATTGGCCCTGGACTCCCAAGATACTGGGAAGATTGTATATCTTGGTCTGAGAACTGCCATTTTAGTCTCGTGGACGGAGTGTACGTGAAAGAGAGCTTGGAGGGAGTGAACCAGAAAAGTCTTGAGAGTCACTCAAATGTTAGGCCATGCACTGCCCCTTTAATAGTCTAGAGGAGAAGAGACGCAGATTCCGCGGGAGTGGGCCGTCAGCCCTACACTGCACTTTTAGTCTACTTGAGAAAAGAGAGACATTGTCCTCAGCCCTGCACTGCACTTTTAGTCTGGACGAAGCAAGGACCATGTACCGTCCTGGGTAGTTCTAGCTTTGCACATGGCAAGGCTGTGGCCAGAAGCCTCATCCTTGGCACCCTGCCGCTGATTTCGCTGGCACAAACGCGCTGCACTGCAATTTGAACCGGGACAGCAGCCTGCGGCCGTGTGTTGTTCTCTCGGTGCTCTCGGTACTCGGTACCGAGACAACGGTCAGCCTAGTTATCGAAGAGGCCTTCTCAAGTCCTTTCACCAAAGGAAGTGGTCCCGCAAGTTTTGTTTGGTATGCAATGGCTGACTATTCGTTTAGGATGACCACCCCCCATCATTTTCTTGTGTAGATATTCCTGCGCCTAGAAACCGAACCAGCGCGGCGTGCATATGTGCATGGCCCTTTCAAAGCGATCGGGATTTCCCGTCTAGACAAACAAAGAAGGATGTTTAGGTGCGTCATTAAATTCCCCTTGTTTTTTTTTTTTCATGGATTCTTTGATTTGTTTGATATCAATACCCAGACTCATATGAGAACGATCTCGATAGCGTGACATCCTGCACTTCTCGACTCGTAGCATCATCAAGATCCTCGATTTTATCTTCGTCGTGCGCTTTGGACATGTCCTTGCATGGCTCTTGGAAGGTAAATCGCATTTCTTGATCCTTCTCGGCCATGGCGGCCATCTCGACAGCTCCCCCTTCCACAGGGACTTTTTCATCGCCGTTCCCCTTTGTGAAGCTCCCATTTTCGCCGGAGCTCTGGCGGTTCAGCCTTGCTTCTTTCAGTTGCCTGGCCCTTGCCTCCCTTTCTCGTCTTTCAGTCCTCCATTTCATTCCCCAGAAATAGACAGCCCAAAGCATCGGGGATGTCGCGATCAGAGATAAGGTCAAAAATGTAAACGTCCAGCCTCTGCCCCACGCATCGATCATTGGTATCACCGCGGCCGTAGCGCCTGCACCTAAGCCGCACCGGACGAGGTTGTTCGCCGCCGTCGCTGTGGCGGGGGCTCTTGGATAGAAATCAACCAAGAGTGTGCTCGTGACGTTGAATGCAATAGACATGCTGAAGCTGGTGAAAAAGAGGACAACGAGTAGGGCTGGGAGGGGCCCATTGACATCCAGAATCCAGCCGAACGCAAGAACCAACATTGATGTAAGATACGCGGCAGGTATGGCAATCTGCAACCTCACCTTTTCGATAGGGAAATTGCTCAAGTCTTGATTTCTCCCCTTCCGGATCTTCACGCCAAGCTTCCTGCACCAACGAGCAAAGTTGCGGTCCAAGAGTTGTCCATTTGTCAGGGCAGCACATAAGGACCCGCAGCCGAAAGGAATGAAGCACAAGCCGATCTGTAGTTCGTTGAAGCCAAAGATCGCCTGCAATTGGGAAGGTAAGGTAGCTGTGACGTCGTAGAAAGCTGCAAAGAGGAAAGCATTGTAGAACAGAAGCAATGCGTTCTCTTTGTCCATGATGATATGAAGAGACCGCAGGGGATTGGGGAAGCGGAACTTCTTTTTGTGACGAGTCTCCTTTTGGGGGTGATTGTCTTTCGTTGACATCTGATCTTGGGGATGCAGTTTTCGGGCTTTACGTATTGCCAGGTAATTCATGAGAGACATATTCCAGCCTTTTGGAGGGATCGAACCGTTGCCGACCTGTTTACGAGCTATCGAATGGTCAACAAACAGTGATTCAGGCTTCTTCCATGAGGCGTCCTACCTGTCTCTGGGAAGAAAATTGCAAAGACAACCATGAACGCGGAGCCCATGATCATCAGGAACCAGAAAATGGCCCTCCACCCGAGGAATTGAGCGAGGACACCTCCGATGACGGGGCCCAAGGCTGGGCCAAGCAGAGATCCTGCCAGGGTAAAACCCATATACCTGCCTCTTTCTGCCGCGGTCGCCACGTCGGACACAACGGCACTGCACATGGCAATAGTGGCGCTCGAACCTGAGCTCTGGAAACAGCGCAAGACAAACAACGCCCCATAACTGTTCTGGAGCGCAAGCCCAATGTTGGCAAGGATGTATATCGTAAAGCAAACTGTTGGTGGCGTGTTAATGGAAGCATTAATGCACCATGAAATTGATGGACGTACCAGCATATGCGGGACGCCGACCAGCAGCATCAGCAAGATCTCCAACAAACGTAGGAGCAAGGCCTTGGAATATCTATACGAGAGGCAAGTCAACTTCCTCGGCGACGGGTTTACGAGAGAAGATAGCATACCATATAAGAGGTCAGGGTCAAGTTGATCAATGAATTAGAAACATTCAAATCTCTCGCTAACGCATTCAAAGCAGGGAAATAGATCTGGCCGGAAACAGGAGAGAAGAAGCCAGCCCACGACGCCATAAACACGATGAAGATTTTTTGATTCTTTGTGAAGACGGAATAGATTGGTCCACCAGCTGCATCGGTTATTGTTCGTTCGGCCTGGACAGTGTCTGGGAGCTCGTCTTGAGCAGTGGGTATCCTCTCGAGGGAGCCATCGTCATGGAAGTGAGAGGCCTCACTTTGCGATGGTGCATGCCCAGTCTGGGAGTGAGCAAGAACAGTCTGTGTTTGTTGGTGTTTATTAATCTCGCACGCAGCGCTGTGGCCACTTAGTGATGCTGGGATCTTTGAGGCATGTTGATCCGCAGAACAGGCACCTCCCGACATCAAGTCTAGCCGGGGCGCTCGGTATGCACGCGAGAGAGAGTGTGTGTGTGCGCGTGAGCCAAAGCTTGGGTCTCTCGTTGATTTGGTGGGGTCGATCGGGGATCTGGGACTCAGGTTAGATAGGCGTGCCTCTTGCCTTGGTTAAGTATGGCAAGTCCCTTGGCTTTGGATCTATTCTGCTCGTAGACCAAAAGTTCAACAACGCCGAGGACAGAGAGGGAACGAGGAATCGAGAGGGGAAATAGAGGTCTAAGAATTCAACATAGCATCATGTCGCCGATAAAGTCATCGACAGACGAAAGTCGCAGGCACAATAGCCGGTTACGGAGACCGTCCAATGTGTGAGGATGTATTGGCTGGCTGCCCAGTCAGTGGGCCGAAATTCCATACTGCAGCCCTAGCGGGCCTCCAAAAAAATTTTGGGACTCCGTACATGAGTTTGAGGCGATGAGAGATTGAAGATGGTCACCGAATGATGATGCAGGTTGGCTGGTGTTGTGGAAGTGGGAAATGGCAAGACCGGAAGAGGGAGGTGGTAAAGGAAAGAATTTGTGCCTGTCATTCTCCCCCACTGACTGACGTTTGGGTGACGTTTCTACCAGATGTGGCATATTTGAGACTGTCATTACAAATTGGGCAGCCGCAGTGGGGGACAGTGGGGGTGATTGGGGGTTCACTTCGTGGGTTGCCGCTATAGCCGATGACCCGGACAGACTCCGGCCTTTTGTGGCCTTGTAGGTATACCTAGGCCTGTGCTTTGGCCCGTGTACCGAGTACCTATGGTCTGTGCTGCACCCCCTTGGCCCTCTCACCCTCCGTCGCTGGCTAGACCTCCTCTTCTCCATTCCTCAGCCTTTCTCCCGCCCATCCCGCCCATCCAGTTCCTTTCTGCCTTATCTCCACAGTCGTTTTTCTGCCACCTCACCGCCCATCGCTGCGCATATCGGCACGTCACCGCCGATGTTCGCACTTGCCGCCACGTCCCTCCAAACACACATCCGCAACAAATCCGGACCGCGCCCTACGTGATGCCTTGCAAATGAATGCAGAGACCTCACCCTCATCCTCCTCCCCAACCTGAACCTCAGAGGCATGATGGGATCGGACCCACCACCGCAGGCCAGACAACAAAGCCTGCGGACCACGATACCCGTTTGACCTTCTATCCAGCCTACGCTTTCAAGGCCTCGGCAACCTGGTCGAAATGGGTGAAACTGACCTGTCTCGACATCCACACCGTGTTGGAACACCATGAGAAGTATTCTCAGGTTACTACGTCCCTTGGCGTGGATGGCCGCAATCCCCAGGGTCGACAAAATGACTCCCCTTTACTGCTCTTCTACCTCAACCATCCCATCCAATTTGTCCAGGTGATTGGCGTGGTCGTTGCGTTGGAGGATTTCTTCGAGAGGTTCTGGCTCTTCAAAATCGACGATAGTAGCGGCGCGATTATTGACGTAACATGTCCCAAGCCGGAGAAGAAGCAAGCCGAGCTGCTCGCCGGATCAAGCAACAATGCAGGGACAAAGCGGGCAACCGACGCCGCGAAAAAGTCGGACTCGAGATCAAGGTCGAACGCAAAGTCCAACCCCAACTCTGGAGAAGGTGAAGAAGCCTCGGAAGAAGAACAGCTTCAACACACCTTCTCCCTTCTCGATATTGGCACAACCGTTCAAGCAAAGGGCACCATCACCACGTTCCGCTCAACCCGCCAACTCTCCCTCCTGCGCCTGAACATCCTCCCCACCACAACCCACGAAATGGCACTGATCGCCTCACGCACCCAGTTCCTCTCCTCCACACTCTCCAGACCCTGGGTATTGACACGGGAAGAACAGAGGAAATTGCGCGACGAGGCACAGCATGAGAGGGACGAGGACATCGAGCGGGCCAAGAGGAGGAAGACACGCGAGGTGAAGAGGAGAGAGAGGGAGGAAAGGCATAGACAAGTCATTGAGAAGGAGTACAAGAGGGACGAGATGGAGAGAAAGCGGGCGGGAGAAGAGGCCCGAGCATGGGGAGCAGTTCTAAAGGGTGATCGAAGGAAGAGGATAAAGATGTCGGGTCCGATCGAAGAGGGTTCGCGCTAATCCATCGGGACTTTATGTGCAGGACTGAGCATTAGTGTTTGTATAGTGTACTGTTCAGAGACAATAACAATGTGAGAGGTTGTAGACCCGAGATATCCGCTCAGTCTCTACCTGCTGATAGTGCCACCACTGCCACGCTAACAGCAGACCAGGCTGGAACTTTTGAACGAAAGGGCTTTGAAAATTCGTCAATGTACAATACAAGAAGACACATCCGACACAACTCTCCCTCTCGACCGTGAAGCCCCTCTACACTGAACTGACCTCATTGATGAGAGTAACCCGATGCATCAATCGAAACTCGACGATTCAACACGAACCCATCCAGCTCAAAATGAATGTTGCCTGCTGATGGCAGAGTGGTTGAGCTCAATAGGCCGCGCTAGTTCTCCGTTCTCGTTCTTCCGTCGGCTCTGCCATCCTCTCCTGACGGATACTTCTCTGTGGCACATCTATTTGCGGTTTTCCACCATTACTCCTCCAAGCCGTAGTATGATTCCAACCAGCCAGTAGATGGAAAACCCGCCCTTCACCGAATTCTCAAATCAACCCTATGCATATTGTATTCTGTTGATTAGAAACACACTCTCTATTCCGCGTTCCCGCGTGCTCGAATCGAAGGCTCGAAGTGCGATTCTCAGATCCATGGTTGCCAAATCCGCTGTGATCTTGCATGGTCGAGAATCAAGGTAAAAACAACTGGTCCGCTTTTCGTGGCGCTGTAAATGCTAAACAGGTGGCTTTGCTCTCGCCGGGGTATCAATGCACATCTTTTCTTCTATCCATCCCCACAAGCGGCCGTCAGTCAGATATTAGTGTAATCGAATCGTATTATGTTGTACACATTTTTTTGATCGGATTATGTGGCTTTCACTCGGCGCTCTTGTCCGGTGATCTCGATCGTTCCCGTTCGATGCTTGGCTGAGACTTTTGCGTAGGAGGTGATGCGGGATTAGATGGCGGTGATCCAGGCCCGTCGTTCTCAAGAGCGGCAAGAGCACTAAGGCACCGTTAGCTTTTTCAGAGGTTCATCGAGGTGCCATATGGGCTTACCTGAAAGCATTTGTGCTGGACTCATCTTTCTTCTCCTTGTCTTTCTGAGCCGGAGGCGTTCCTGTTCGGCTGCTAGTAGCACTGTCATCTCCTCGTCCGAGGAGACCACCTGGTCCAAGTCCACGGCGCCCACTGTTGGTACGCCCGCCCATCAAACTAGGAGGGCCCAGTGGGCCAGGACCAGAGGTATGACTGGGATGGCGAGCACTGCGTGCACCAAGCTTTCGAAGGTCGTCGGTACCCACGCGGTTTGAGGTGTCAGGGGGAGGAACTTGTCCTCCAAAGCCGCTGAAGCTTCGGGCATCGCCACGGCCCATGGGCATTCGGCCTCCGCCACCACGACCACCGGTCTGGCTGGCAAGTCTCCTGAGTTCGTCCTCACGTGCCTGGCGTTCCGCTTCTTCGCGAATCTCGGTGATAGTCTTAGGGCCCTTATTGTCTTCCTTAGAGGCCCAGCCCTTAGCCCGTAGATCAACCACATCCATGAGCATGAATCGAAGACGACTGGGGAGTTCGGGCAGCTCAATCATAGACTTGATGCGCTCGAAGTAAAGGTCCATTCGGCCTTGTGCCTTGCTCTCGGGGTTGTCGAGTTGTTTCCCGACTGTCCGCAGCAAGCTTGTCAAGCTTTCTATCTCGGCTTCATCCGGAGTCCCCTCGTAATCGACGAGCTTCTTGACGCATTCATGCATGATTCGTTCGGTCAACATCGACAACTTGAACAATTCACCAATGAACTTGACGAGACCTAGACCACGACGCTTCGCAGCTGCTGCAATATAGTACTCGTCTGAGAGCATGGCAGCCTCTTCGGATTCTCCCTCCGGTCGAGGAGGGAGATTGACCTTCCAGCCACGTTCAAACTCCTCTTGGCAACGGTTGAGGAGGTATTTCCGGAATAGATTCCCGCCGGTCACGACATTACCATTCTTATCCTTAATCCCCTCGTCTCTGATATCCGGACTCATACTTTCTAGCATTCGTCGACAGAACGAGGCGTACATGCCTGCCCAGTGAGCTTCATCGGTGGCCTTTTCAAAAGTGAGCTGAATGACTTGGCGTAGTGTTCGGCCGTCTTTTTCGTGTTTGGATTGAGCAGCAATATCCAATATTTGATCCGAAATTCTGTCGAATTTTTCGGGAGTCATCTTGTTCAAAAGTGCCTTTGTCTTGCGCTGCACTGTTTCAGGATCCATTAGGCCGTCGCCACCGGGAGCAGGGCCGGAAACGATGGGCTGGACAAGGCTCCGTGGTTTCCATCCGGTAGCCGAGGTCTCAAGGGCTGTGATAGCCATACCGGCAGTAAGAGGCATGGACTTGTTTTCTTCGGCCATCTGCTTAGCGGTCTGCTTCGCACGCTTGCTTTCAGCACGGGAGCCCCCACGACTTGCACCGCCCACGCGAGGAGACCCAGGAATGGGACCGAGCGGGCCGCTGGAAGGTGTTCGGCCGCCCATAGGAGGCTGCATCTGTCCTCCTGGGCGTCCGAACTGAGCGAATGGATTGGTCGCCATCGCTCCACTCCTCAAAGCGTTCGATGCAGCAAATCGCTGCTCTGAGGTTGTACCTGGTGGGAGAGTGGGTCGGTTAACTCCACCACCAAAAGTGCCCATAGGCCCAAAGTTGCTCATGGGAGGAGGTCCACGAGAGGATGCACTGCGGGCACCCATGCCCGAAGGTGTCCTGGCAGAAGCGCTCGGTCGAGCTGAAGCATCTCCATCGCCCAATGCATCTCGAATGCGAGCATCCCAATCAAGAGTCGGCTTCTCTTTGAATACGCTCTGGAACTGGAGCAGAAACTCTTTGTTGTATTTGAATCCGCGATCGGCCGGGGCATTCGCGTTCAGGGCAGGATTCGGGGACGCGATGTCTGGTGGATAAACAACTTTGGAGATGTCACCGAGCTTCTTCGCAGACTGCAAGGCCTTCAACGTTGCACTCGGTTCAGGTGGCTCGACGGGCTTCTTAGTGTCGAGAGTCAGTTCGGCAGCCTTGGTACGACGTCCAGGGGCCTTCGCGGGAGGTGGCATTGATACATCGGAGACGGGCGTAGCAGTTCCACTTTCGGCTGGAGTCGTCGGACCAGCAGGGCTTTCAACAGACGCAGGAGTGCCAAATGGATTGGGCTTGAGCTCAGCGAAGAGTTTCTTGCTGGCTTCATCTCCTGAGGTGCCCTCCGCCTTTTCCTTCTCGCGAGCCAATTCTTCCTCCTCGGCCTTACGCTCCAATTCTTTCATGTTTGCCTCATAAGCCGCCGCTTCTTCCTCTTCTTTCTTTCGCTGGGCCTCGCGCTGGGCAGCTTTTCTCTTCTTGTACTCTTCCTCGCGTCGCAGCTCCTCTGCTTCCCTGGCAGCCTCTTCGGCTTCCATTTCAGCAGCAAGGGCGTCCAAGTCAAGCTCATCCTGCTGTGGCTTGGCAGGGGTTGCCGGAGTCTCTTCAGGTCTTGTTTCTTGAGCTTGCTTAGCGGCTTCGGCTTTCTCTGCAGCTTCTTTGGCTTCCTTCTCTTGCGCCTCCGCCTTGGCTTGAGCCTCCGCGGCCTCTCGCTCAGCCATTTCAGCGGCTTCCCTCTCCATCTCGGTTTTCTCGGCCTTTTCGGCTAGTTCCTTCTCCAGCCTTAGCCTGGCTTCATCTTCTGCAATCTTCTTGGCAACAGCTTCCTGCATTTGCTTCTTGACCTCTTCTGCAGTCTTCGTGCTGACGCTATCTGTTCGGCCATGAGCATTGTCGGCGGCGCTGGCAGTTCGGCTAGGAGGGGTTGACGCTGACTGCGGAGGACCTGTCGCCGGGACGGGGGTAGGGTTCGCAGGGGATGCAGGCGACTTATTGAAAGACACGACCTCGCCAGCGGTATTCTTGATGGTGACGGCGGCACTCTTCTTCGGAGGAATGGTATAGTTGGACTTCTGCGAAGAGACACTCGGAGCTCGATTGGCCGGGTGCGGAGGGCCAGTGGGACCTGGAGTCGGTGGTTGTTGGCCAATGCTGGAACCAGGCCGATCGGGAGCAGAGATCTGGGAAGACTGTCTCGACATTGAAGGTGGCGGTCCGCCCTGATTGCTGTATGAAGGCTGCATGTTGGGTGCATACATGCCCTGGTTGAAGTGTGGGCGAGGAGATTGAGGCTGCATGCCGTATTGGGGATTGTATTGGGTCGGCATGGGCCCTTGGGCATACATTTGCTGCAAATACATTTGCTGAATACTAGGATCAGCCTGAGTCATGGGGAAGGCCTGTGCTCTCGCAGTCAGAAAATGTTCTGAATAACGTTCAAAATTGCCAGACTCAGGGGACAAGTCAGGGTAAGGAAAGACATTGGGAGTATTGGTGACAACTTGAACGGGGGGCTGCACAAGTTCGGGGACAACTTGAACGGTGGGAAGCGCAAGATCGGGGCGGTAGTAGTCCGAGGCTGGATCTTTGCTGTAGAAAGTTGATCCCTCCTCGTGTCCACCTCTACCAGGGCCGTTACCGCGACCAGCCCCACGACCGACACGGTTCCGGCCCCTCGCAGGCTTGCCTCTTTCTCTTGCGGGTTCTCTGGCAGGATCACGTGAAGAAGGAAACGATGGGTGGTTCTTTACATGTTGGGGTCCCATATAATATCCATTGGGTTGAGGCTGCATCCCGGGCTGCACCATGTGTATTTGACCTCCCATATTCGGGGTTCCTGGCTGAGCGTTGACAAGAGCTGGGCTGCGGGTGCCCATGGCGGGGGATCCTTGGTATGGAAGTTGTTGACCTCGACCTTGATATCCACCTTGGAATGAGCGTCCGTTCGAAGGAGGTCGAAATTGTTGTTGGGGCGAGAAATGCATGGGTTGTTGTTGATATTGAGGATTGAAGCCTCTGCCGCGACCTGGGCCACCTGGATAGCCTCCACGGGTTGGGCCCGCTGGAATGCCTGGACCACCGACGTCGCTGTGGATCGACTGCGAGGAGCCTCGTCTCATGTGCTCTTGTTGAGGTCCAAACTGTAGTTGAGATATCGGCCTAGTCATACCCTGGAGAAAATGGTCAGAATTTGATAAGACAACCTCGTTTAACCTTACACTTGGATCGTTCTGGTCGCCCGAGAGCTGCCCAAATGTATATCCATTTCCGTGGCCCTGAAAACCGCTGGGAGGCCTCCCGCCACTGACGGAGGCAGGTTGAGGAATTGGGGACGGAGAATTTGAGGGAGAGGTTGCGCGAGGATTCAGTTGGCTCACACTAAGATTTGCCGAGTTTTGATGTGCCAACGAAGGGGGTGTGCCCATCGCAGGGGACCCAGCCGCGTTGGCCACTCCCAGCGAACCGAACTGAATATTTCCTGGTTTGTTCTGAGGGCCACCAGGAGCACCACCGTTTGCTGCGAAGCCGGTGGCGCCAGCTGGTGTAACTGTCATGGACGGTTTACGCGTGTGGTCGGGTAGTGAGACGCTTCCGTTGACAGAAGGGATGGCAGGAATCGTAGGATTTCTGCCGTTTACAGAATCGCTATGCCCATGGGCATGCGGAGCGCCTCCAACTGCTGCAGACATGTTGGTGGGCTCCGATGCATTTGGTGCAGAAGAAGGAGATTTGGAGGCGGAGGGAAACGAGGTTCGGCCTTGATTAGCCAAATTCGATCCAGTCGCGAAATTTGAGGCTGTAGATTGTTGTGCGCCTGCGGCAGCAGCGAAGGAAGGTTTAGATCGAGCGGTAGAGGACTGCTGGGGATTCGATGTCATCAGAGATGATAAAATGTCTTCAGGCAGCGATTCGGATGTGCAAGGTTGACTGGAAGGCTGAAACCCAGCGGATGACAAACGCAGCTCTAAGTGAAGGTTGGAAAAAAAAAGTTCCCGAGCCCGCAGGTGATTGTTGGGTAGCGAAGGAGGAATCGAGGGTGAATGAACCACTTTGCGGCGACTGTCTCGAGTGAACGGAAGCCGCTCTTGTGCTTATGTGGAAGATGGCGAAGAGGGAGGAGGGTTGTAATTCTTTTTTTCTTCTGAGAGGAGATTCACCACGCAGGCAGATTTCCGGCCGATTCAAGACAAGGAAACTGCGGCGATGGATGGCAAAAGCGTACCCTGCTCAAGAGGGACAAGAAGACACGACAACGATGCCGTTCACGATGCCAGAGAAGCCTCACGCGAGGGTGAGGCGCAACTGGAATTTGTTGAGGGGGGGTGGTATGGAAGTCTGAGCAAAGAGAAAAGCGCAGTTGAAAGAGGCGCTTCAAGGCGCTCTCTCCTTTCTACGAAATTTTTTGGTCAGTCCGCGGCTTGGCAATGACCTGTGAGGACCATGACGGCCGCAACCCCAACGGCACTTCTTGCTGGCCGCTTGACGCCCCGTAGGCGCAGCCCGCCCGCAATCTCACCCCCGAGCTGCCCATTACTGGCTGTTCAAGCAGCGATTCATGGGCGTCGAGGGTGCCCCGGGTGCCCAGGGCGTCTTTGGCTTCACCAAACGTTGGCTTGCTCGTACCACTTTCACTCCATCAATCCCTGGCCGTCAACTCAATTTCTCCCCAATCACTTGTACTGAGTTTCTTTTTTTTCTCGTTCGGGTACCCCTTTCTTACGGTGGAGGTGTCATTCATTGTCCACAGGCGCACGCCAACCCCTCAACAGTCAGATGATGGCTCGGCCCTTGGGAAAAACAGGCGCAGTGTGGGCGTTCCATAGGCGAGCCCGACCCTCTGGTCCATTGGCATTTCATGACGATATTTGGACCAGGGCAAGGACTTGACACGGCTCATCTGGTGGTGCTTATCGTGTGTTTTCCATCTTTGGTTTCCTTCCTATCCCTCCCTGACGAGTCTCAGGGAAATCCATCCGCAAAGCCGAGCACGCCTCGTCTTGTTTTCCCTTCTCTCTCCGACACGGCATCTTCGTCGCACGTTCCCTACACAATTGTGACGAGATAATGATTCGGCAAGGTGATTCGCATCCGAATCCCGCTATCTCCAACCGAACATGTCACCCCTTTCGGCGACGGAGCGCTCTTTAGTGTTTAACAGGCCTTTATGTCCGTGCCATCTTCTTGGTGTCTTCGTGGGTTCTTCTAGTGGCTTGTCTCAATTCTGCCACATGATGAGCGACGAGGGATGCCCCGGTTCGGCCATTAAGCGTGAACATATAGTAATCAGAAATATGGAGTATGATACTCAAAATAAATTTTCCGTATTCTTGACATCACTTGCATGGTCCCCGTGCACATGTTGATGCACCTGATCAGCAACCGAATAGACGCTCTTCAACTACATAGGTATGGAGAATTTTCTGCACCTCTTCAGCAATCGGGTCCATTTCTCGGTAAATGTCTGTGCAGCAGAGGCACCGTTTACGAGTAGAGTATACAGTTGAGGATGACCAGAGTTTGGTTGGCTACGCAAATCTTCAACTTAAGTTGATTGTGCGCGGATGCTGCTGTAAAGTCAAGCATCACTCGAGTGTCTGCAAAGAGAGCAGTCTGTTTCCAAGATTTTCCAGTGCCCCGTTTGCCAAAATCGAGCCCATACATCTGAGGGGAGCACCGTCATTCAGTCCATGTCGTCGTGAGCAAAAGCAAGTAAATGTTCCCCCCTAGACCGTCCAGACGCCATGCTCAAGCACCTGTTATGCAAAAGCAACTGTAGCCCTGCCAAAACGCAAATGAGTACTCCGTAGGCTATGTCAAGTCTTGACGCCTTTCTTCCCTTTCTTTGCGTTTTTCTGAAATAACTCCTCCGGCGGTTCAGCCATGGCCTTGCGCTTGCCTTTCTTCGTGCCGCCACCGTACTTTGCCTCCAGGTCGTCGAAGAAATTCTGTGCCCTGTTTCGCTGACGCTGTTGAATCAAGGCCGTAAGGGCTTCATTGTCGCCTTCTCCTGTCTTCGATTTTTTTTGGCTAGAACCTTTGTTGCCGAAGATTCTATCCTCGAGTCCCAGATCCCGGGCTAGTTCTCTCGCCTCCGCTTCTTCTTGCTTTGCATTTGCCTTCCTCCGCTGCCGACTTTTCTTGTCTTCCTTGGTGTAACGATTGTACGCCTCCACTTCGCCCTGTGCAATAGCCTCATCAATGATCTTTCTGAACCGGTCCTCATCTGCCAAAACCTCACTACACATGACCATCTCGAAGACCACGTCCATATCACCCTCGCTCTGCGTATATGCCGCTAAAACATCATCTCTCTCCTCTCCACTGCCCTGGTATTCCTTCTTTACCTGTTCAATCATCTCTTCTGTCACTATGTTCTCGGTCTGTTCGCGAAAGAAATCCACCCAGTTGAAATCATCATCGTCAATGGTTGCGCTCTCCGCGGTGTTGCCTGTAGCGTCGTAGCGTTTGCGTCGGCGCTCGTCGCTGAGGATGGCATAAGCAAATGCGATTTCCTGAAATGCTTTGTGTGCACTTTCGCGATTCTCAGGGGAAGCTTTGTCTGGGTGGTGTTTGAGAGCGAGTTTGCGATATGAAGATTTGATTTCGTCGGGGGTGGCAGTCTCGGAGACGTGCAGAACAGCGTAGGGATCGATGAGGGGAGGGTCGCCGACAGCGAGATCCTCTCGTCCTTCTGGGTGCTTTTCGCTACCATTGGACGCAGAGTCTTCAACGCGTTGAGGCTTAGATTTCGATTTCCGGGGCATGATGAGGAGAGGCAGTGGCTGAGCACGAAATTTTCGACGGAGGGGTGTAGGTAGAATGATGTAGACTAAGACGCACGGTGACGGAAAGATCTTATATACAAGAAAGAAAAAAGGAAAGAAATTTAAGGCTTCAGCGATACGAAGTGAAATGAAAAGAAGTTGGAAAGACAGATCAGGTCAGGCCTGTCAAGGTCAAGCCAAGTAAAAGGAGAGGTCAACTCAGAGGACGCGCCGTGCACGGGGAGCGTGTTGTTGCGTGTTTTTCCGCTCAGTTCAGATTTCCAGTGTCAACGTCATCGTTGGGCTTATTCGGTATTCCTTCCTGGTCATTCCCACTACTCGGCCCGTCTCTCTCACATTGCTACTTCCCCGACATCACCCAACCTATTTCAGCATCCCGTGTAAACAAACATGCACCCTCACCACCACCGCCACTAACGCACCTCTTCAGCTCATCACTATGGATCCAAATGCCATGACTGATGATCCAAATCCATTCGGACCTCAGCCGAATTTGATTGTCCTCGCCGACAGCATTCAAGCTACAGCAAATGAAGCTAAAAAACTCCAAAATCTTCCCGTCTTCAGAGATGGCAATGCTATCATAGCTGCGATCCAAAATCTCGGTCAACAATTCAACACTCAATTCAACACTCTCAATCGACGATTCGATCAGTTTGAGATTAAGCTAGATGGACTTCAGACGCAGATGCGAGCTAGGTATGCGTCGTTATTCATTATTCTAGTTTTATTTTGTTCTGATTTAACTCATTTTATAGTGAAATCAACAATTTGGCTCGGATTCAGAATTCGTACCTTTCAACCTCAGCCTCTCCCATCACACCACTTGTCAATATCTTGACCGCTGCTGAAGTTCCGGGTTTCCCTGCTATGTCAAGACACGTTGCTCGGGTGGAGGAGCCCGAATTGGAGACTGTTCTACAAGCTTTGGGTTTAGCACCTGCTACAGGAAGTGTGGCGGCGAAGAGAAGACAGTTAAGGGGATTGGTTGGTCTGGCGGAACGACCAGAAAATGCATAAATGGAACATGCACTGATGGATTATTGTTAACGGCTTATGTATGAATTACGAATTGATGTCGGTGAACGTTAAACCCGCTACACTTCCTTCTCCATTCAAACCAATTTAGCAACAGCCTCCCAAACGATTCTGAATTTCTGCTCGTCCCGTCTCCCAATGTGCACGCACCGTTTCAGTGTCCCGTCGAAGTCATCCCAACTCTTACAGCCTCGCGCTCGGCAGGCGTCTGCAAGCAGGGTTACAACCCATTCCTCACACTGACTCACCCAGCTAGCCACCGCATGAACCCACAAGTGCAGCGCTGGCACCGCATCCCAGCTGCTCGGCTGCACAAAAGACAACTCGTTGCGAAGTTGCACGACCAGCGCAGGGAACTGGGACCAATGCAGGGCATGTCCGCGGATGTGATGATGGACATACATCAACGCAGCATAGGCCACTGTCCGCCACATGGGGTCTTTGCCGCCCTGCAGATTCGTGTACACGTGCTCTTGAATGGTCGTTATCCGTGTCGCCAGACACAGTCGGCGCTCAAAGCGGAAAAGGTTGTCATGTCGTAGTGTCCTTTCCGCAGTCGACAGCGTCTGCAAAGGTCGTGCTTGAACATCGTTGCACACAATTTGGATCTCGCGCAAAAGCGTTGTTATTTCTTGTGCCATATCTCCTGCAAAGCGTGCCTGCAGGGGTTCAAGGTGTGTCACTGGGTCGTCGGCTATGGGGGCGTATACAGATTTCCACGCCTCATCCCAACGTGGCAGAAGCGCGAAGCGCAAATTGCCCCCGAAAAGTTCAACAAAGAAGAGGTCGTTCCAGGTTATGATCCGTTGCAGGAGGACTCCCACCGTTCCCATCCGGGAGAGGTCCTCGAGGCCTCCTCGAAGGTT